ACCTTCCTTGGCAACCGGCCTTGGCAACCGGCCTTGGCAACCGGCCTTGGAAACCGACCTTGGCAACCGGCCTTAGCAACCGGCCCAGAAACCACCCCTGGAAACTGTCCATAGCAACTGCCCCGGCAACTATCCCAGCAACTGTCCCTAGCAACCACCCTGGCAACCATCCCAGCAACTGTCCCTAGCAACCACCCTGGCAACCATCCCAGCAACCATCCCAGCAACTGTCCCTAGCAACCACCCCAGCAACCATCCCAGCAACCATCCCTGGAAACCATCTCTAGCAACTGCCCCTGGCAACCACCCCTGGCAACCACCCCTGTGGGTGCCAACCCCCTGGTGGGTCACAGAATCCCTGAATCAATAAGGTTGGAAAAGATCCCTGAGGCCACCAAGTCCAACCTGTGACCCAACACCAGTTTGTCAACAAAACCAGAGCCCTAAGTGCTGTGTCCAGTCTTTGCTGAAACAGCTCCAGGGATGGTGTCTCCACCACATCCCAGGGCAGCCCATTCCAATGTCTAATTACCCTTTCTGTGAAGAAATTCCTTCTAATGTCCAACCTAAACCTCCCCTGGTGCTGGTTAAGCTATGTCCTCTCATCCTGGCTGGGTGCAGAAGCACCCCAGGCCTTTACACCTCAGGCTTAACGTATTCACCCCCTAAATCCCTGGGAGTGTTTTAATCCCACCATCAATTATGTGGCCTTTCAGACCTGGTGGGTTTTCCTCTGCTCCCTTGACATACTCTGGCAGCAACCATTAAGATATGCTTCTGGCTTTGCTCTTAACAGGGTCTTTATTTTTAATGTTCTGTCCAGTTTCCAGCTCTGAACTGGAGATAAGATGGCCTAAAAAGGGGGAAATGGCTTGGGCTCTCATTTGCTCATTTGTGGCATTTAAAGAATCTGATTTGTTTTGCCCTTTTCCTAACCCTAAACTATCAGAAGTGCCAGGCTGGTTTTCTGTAGAGCTTTATTACCAGAGAGCTTAAATGTTTTGGAGAAAATCTAATACATTACTTATCTACTGAGGAAGTAGGGTATGGCATTTGTAATAAAAGGATTTTCTAGGCTGTTACTGAGCATTTGAATTAAGTGGATATTAATGATAACAATGTCAAAGATTTTTAGCAATTGGATTAGAAATCTTTAATGTTTTTTAGTGCAGAAGATATTACAGACAACTGGAGAACACTGCTGGATGAGTGGCAGAAGCCAGAGACACTTATACACAGAAATTCTTCTGGCATTATAATCCTAAGAGAAAATTACTCTTAAATGGAGCTTCCCCTGCCCCTGGTGAGCAACTAAGGGATAATTCCAGAGCTCAGGAAAGCAGTAAATTCTGCCCTTTCACCTTATTACCTCCCAAACTCTGAATTTTTAGGATGAAAAAAAAAACCTCACTGAAGAGGAAGAAATAATTATTGAAAATGTCAGGAAGGATCTTATCAGGATGGATTAACAGACAGATTAAATTCTTCCAAGTATTACCAGTACACTGAATATGCTGGTGCTGCTGTCCACACACCTCACAGGCTCCGGTCCTCAGAGATGGAGTTTGCAGCCAAAGGGGAAAAGACACTCCTTATTGCCTATTTTATTCTTTTTCTTCTCTCCCCAACAGAAACAGCACTACTCACTCCAAGTAGAATTAGGCAGGTGAAATGTGCAGTTTTCAGGCAGCTCCTTCCCCTTCTCTCCCTCTCTATTTCACCCCAAGGCCACCAAACCCTCCAGGCCAGGTCAGGAGTGCCCCAGCCTGGGAGCCACAAGCAGGTGGTGCCATCAGCCCACTGTGGCTCCCCACCTTCCAGCAGCATCACCCTGACCCACTCCTTGCACCTGACTGGGAAATGACAAAAAAAAAATGAAGTGATTTATTAAAAAAAAAAAGGGAAGGTTTTCCCAAAGCCTACCGGGTGCAAACAGGTTTCAAAGCTAAAATGGATTCAACAAGTGGACATGGCAATTTTATCAGCACTCTAAGTAGGGACAATGCTCAGGCAAGAAGTCTTTCTCCAAATCCAAACAATCCTTGGCTTTTCTTAGTCCTTTCTGCATCTCTTTGTGTTATTTCCCACTTGTCTTTGCAGTGAAAGCTCTTTATTACCACTCACTGTACGTGTGATCCTTGTGCTCCAAGGTCTTGTCATCCTTAGGCTGCACATTCGTATTCAGCCAGGCAAAAAATTACAACTGTTCTTATTTCTCATCCCTTTCTGGAAACACAGCATTCCTCATTCCCTCTCCATAAACCACATTTTGCCTTCTCGATGCCAGTAACATCTCACTCTTATTCTGGTTTTTATCAGAGGCTTTTCAAAGGATTAAAGCTGCCTCTCCCTGTTCACTGATTCTGGCTGAAACCTGCTGTGTAACCTTCTAGCCAAGGCTCCTTTCCAAACTGAAATGAGAGTGATAAGACCAAAGATGAGCTCCTTAATTACTGACATTCACTGCTGGCATCTCAGCTCTGTCTGCCAGGGTTGGAGGAGGATGAAGATGGTATTTAGAGAGCCAGAAATTCAGGAATCAGTAACTCTCAAGCCTACAGCTGAGTGTAACGTGCTGATGCCTGGCTGAAACTCTTGGCAGTTCACTTGGGCGATGCTGAAATGCTCCAGAGCTCTGCTAGGAAATAAACAGAGGCAGACAGGTACAGGCTCTATAAATGGATCCCACCTGCAGAGCCCATGGGCCTCCTGACAGATGCACATCCCACAGGCTGCTGCCATTTGCTCTATTCTACAGCCTCAGGGAGAGTTAATGTTTGAAGATTAAGTAGGCTTTTCAGGCAGGCTTTTAACACCATGACACAGTCCTTCCTGACAGCACTTCTTTGCACATTTTGAATTTCTGGTTTATTTTGTCTGTTTTTAATCTGATCTCCTGCTTCAGACTCATTCTCAGAGTGCAAACAGTGCTCTCATGCAGAATGTCTCCTTCCTTGAGATTATTTTGATAAATGTTTGTACTCAGATTCCTACCAATTTGAATTCCTCCAGGGAAAATTCTCCTCAGGAAATCTATTGATGTTCAAAGGGTTGAGTCTGGAGGATCTGAAGATCCAAGTCTCAACACTTTATCCTTCCAAGAAGAAGAAGAAACCAAGTCTTGTATGATTTTCTAATGGCAAGTCTCACCACACCCGCTGGGTTGGAGTTTTGTTGTTTTTTGCTTTTTCCTTAGAAGGAACTGGTAGCACAGGCTAAATCTTGTCTTTCTCATCTCAGTTTAGTTTGCTTGCCTTCCACAGAAATTACTGGATTTTTACAAGGAACTTAGAAATGAAAATTAATTTGAACACAGCAGTAATGAACGCTGCAATTAAATGATTATGAATTTATTATAATGTGTCCAGATTCTGCCACTTGGGATAAGATACTGAAACCCAAATGGGCTCCATCCTACCTCTATGGTGGCAAACCCAGGCAAAACCCCATAACTTTTAGTCTTAGGTAGTTCTGTTTGATTCACCATTAGGGCATTTGCCACAAGTTAGTCGCCACCCCAGCTCTCACTCAAGTGAAAACAAACCAGAGGGAGCAGCTCTGTCCCCAGGGCTCTCCTGGAAGCAGTAGAGGGTGGAGAAGCCACCCTGTGTGACATTTTGGAGAAGTGCAGAAAAGCTTTTGACAGCTGAGAACACAGGATGGTTTTTTGCCATTTGATGAGTTACTTCTGACTGTCACTAGGTTCAACCCCACGAGGCTGAGCCCCATTTCACACGCTGCTCAGCTCATCTGAAGCTGTTATGTCGTGCACCTGGAACAGTCTGGGGTGATTTTTTAAAGCCTGGCACGGAGACCAAGGGAGGTAAAGCTGAGAGGAAATCAATACCTGGAAATTGCTTCAGGATCCTAACTCTGTGTCCTTTGTCAGCGAAGGATTGGCACTGTAATAAGAGTAGCTGGAGTGAGATTCTTCACCAAGAGGCAGTGGGGAGGGTGGACCTGCTTGGATGTGATTCCAAAATCTGGCAGCTCCAGATGCTGAGGGTGCCTGTGGCAGCTCGTAGCTGGCTGTAGATTCCATCAGGCTTGCACTGGTGTGGGCTTGGCTTTAGAGGACAAACTGAGAGCTACCCACTGCTCATTGCTAATGTGGAGATCTGTGGGAGGTACTGAGTGTTGCAGACCTCTGGTTTGGGAGCCAGTGGATGCTGACACAGCACTTGCTGTGGCAGGGAGGAGAGATGGGGAGAAACTGGGAAGGTTCTAGGGACAAACTAAGAGATACTCTAAAAAAAAAATCTGTTCATTTTGCAAATCAAATTTGTCATCTGTTGTGCCAAATCGTTATTGATACTAGCTGTAAAGTGAAATTCCTCTGAGGAATGTTGTCACACTGGCAGTATGTTTAGACTTTGAATGCCACTGATACCCTGGGGGCAGCTCTGGGGCTGTGGGGAGCACAGACCTACAGACAGAGCCCCCTTGGCATGTGCAGAGCTTTATATGTGTGACAGCCCTACTGAAAAAATGACCATGAGAACAGAGCCCACCACTGCCAGCTCAAACACACACTGCAACACCAACAGGGATGGATGCAAAACTGGCTCCAAACAACTCTGGGTCCTGTCAGTCCGTAGCATCTTCATCCAGGCAGCAGCGAGGATCACAGACATTTCTGCTGCAGAAGCAGCTGCATGAACCAGAGGGAGAACCTGTGGAGCCTGGTGGAGAAGCTCCAAAAATGACCTTTCTGGGTCCTGGGAAGACAGGAAGGTTTTGACTGAAGCTGGGACAGGAAATCCCAGCGGCAGAAATGCTGCTCTATTTATGCTATTGCAGAACTCCTAAGCTGGGTGCACCCAACAGAGCCCCAAGGGTTTTTAGAAATTTCTGCTGCCTCTTGCAATTAACCCAAAGCCATTGTTGTGGATCTTGCTGGGTCCAGCTGTGCATGGCAGGAAACCAATCTAGACAGCACAAGGAAAACCCTGTCATGATGGAACTTTATAGAGCCCTCTGTGAAAGCAGCTCACTTGAGATATGAGCACAGATCACAGCCCTCCTAACCCAAGCTGGGCATCAGGGAGCTATAAATAAGTCAATCATAGACTGATTCTCCTTGATCAGATAAATATTGCCTGGTATCATATGCAGCTCTGTGTAAGGCAAGGGGCCAGCTGGATGGAGAATGAGCTCAGGACCAGGCTATAAGGCAATACCTTGAAATAGCGCTGATTCTCAGCTGGTTTAACAGCATGATCTGATTCATCTGCTCAGCCAGTGCAGCACCAAGACAATGAAAGAAAAATAAGTCATGCTGAAAAATTAGTGCAACCAGCCTCACACATGAGAGAACACAAACAGATTCAGAAAAGCTGACCAAAAATCCCTTTCCAGTTGGCAGGGACCACGTGCAGCTGTGCACACCAGGACAAGGATTTTGGAAAACCTGCTCTGTGCCACCCAGAGATCCCCATCTGCAGTGTCTCCAGTGGATAACACAGATGATATACCTGCCTGATTTGCAAGAAGCAATGAGAGGCAATAACAGACCATCACTGGGATGCTTCTGACCCCTTGCACACACAGGCACCCCCATGTCCTCCAGCTGCACCATCCTCCCTACAATCCCTCTCTGCCAGCAATAGCTGTGATGCCACTGTGGTGCCAGGTGAAGGTATTTGGCAGCAGACAGACATGAGTCATCTCACCTACTGAAACCTTCCCATCATCGAGTCATGCAAGCCCTCAGACAGAACGGGCAGCATCCCATCAATTCTGGACATGGTAAAGTCAATATGAGAAATCTGGCAGGTGGAGCTCATGCTGACACCTCATTTTGAACTCCTCTGAACTGTCCTGGTCTTCTTGGCATGAAGGTTCTGTGTTTGTTTTAATGGGGCTCTCATAAACCTTGTTCCAGGAATGAAGAAAGCTGGCAGTGCACGCAGCACCCCAGGGAGCACCTTTTTCCAGAGCACATGGATGGAGCAGAGCTCTCCAGCTGCTTTTGTGGGCTTGGTGTGAAGCTGGGATATTTGTGAGGGTCTGAAGCGTGAACTGCCCCCCTAATGCAGGTGTGAGTAACAAAGGAGGAGGAGGAAAAGGATGATAATCAAAGAAAAATAAAATAGCAAAAAGATCAACCCTCCTGTTCAGGCAGTGTGAGAAAGTACTAATGGTTAACTCACTCTCACTGTGGAGTAGAAGGAAAAAATGCAGTTGCAGAGGAAAAGCAAAGTTTCCCTAGCAAAGTGAATTTGTCATTCACTCTGCCAGATTATTGCTGTTATTTGCTCTTGGCTCTTTGAGGGATAGAGAGAAAGCGTGCAGATGACCCTGGACTGCGGGCAGGGCCCCCTCCCCACGCACACACACGCACAAAAAGAGGATGCAAACACAGCCTTTGAAATTCAGGAGGATAATTGATTCTCTGACGCGTGGAAGCCCACAGGACTCCTGAGGGAGCTCAGGTATAAAAGGCAGAGATGCACCTCCCTGGCAGCCAGAGGACACTGGAGGAGGGCTGGGGCTGTCCTCCCTGCTCTGCACCAGCACCGCTCCTGCCCGGACCCCGTGGGCTCCCAGAGGCAGCTCCAGGACTGGAGAAGTTGGATTTGCAACAGGGGAAGGAGCACCTGGGCAGGAGCTGATCTAGGAAGCGCTCGTTTTCTCCTGGAACGGTAAGTGGGAGCTGCTCTCTGTGCATTTAACAGGATAATGTCTGTTTGGAAGTTGGAGACAATTAAATTCTGCTGAAATGCGACCAAAGCTGGCGTCAGGAATGAGCTTCACCAGGCACCTTTGTACCATATCAAGATTTGTACCAATATGTTTTTGTACCACATTATAGAATGAAACAACAACTGAACTACATCATAAATGCAAACCAATGGAATTATACTATATGAGCTCTATAAAACATGTTAGATGACTACTAGCTGTAGCACTGTTTTTCTCGTTTGCTATGTGGATGTGAGTTTATTTTACCCTGGCAAATGAACAGTGTTTTACTCAGCCAGCAATGAAACTGTGTTTGAGCCAAGCCAAAGTGTGAGGAGAAACACAACGGTGTGTTACAGGTAATGCAAAGCCAGCCACGACAAGGCACAGGGGGGCACTTAAAAGGATTTCTGCTTTTTTAATATAGCATTTCAGGGTATAAAAGTTTGGGCTTTATTAAACAGCAGGCATGGCAAAAGCTTCATTTCATCTACACAGAGGTGTTTTGAAGACTGCTCAGGTTGAGGTTTCAGAAATGGCAAGAGGTAGTTACCAGCTCTCCAACATCACTGTCACAATGCTGCTGTTCCCACTGCACAGGATGGAACAAAGCTATTATGCTTCATCTGCTGGAATGGTGCTAAAAGCTCTTCATCTTAAGGGGGATTTATTTATTAATCATTTTTTCACATGCTGCCAGAATGGAAAGTGAAGGTGTCCCTCACCTCAGGAGAATTTCGAAGGTGACAATGTTTTGCAAAGCTGTCAAGCTGCCTGCACACAGGGTGACACTTCAATTCCCAGCTTCTCCTCTGAAATAGCAGACACATCTGGGAAGGATTGTAGGACTTTAATTTCTGATTTATTCTTGAGGGAAAAAGGGAGACAGACATAGCCAAAAATCTGGAAGCAGGCTGTAGCTAAGGGGGAGAAGACAAAGCCAGAAACAAACAAGAAACTAATTACAAAGAAATTAATAGTAGAGAAATAAAAAAAAAAAAAGTTCAAAAAGCAATTCTAGATAAAACCCCAGCATTTAAAGTAGAGAAGTCAGTGACAGAAAGAAAGTGGTAATCAGGGCTATATGCTAAGAAGAGGAAGGGGAAGCAGACAGCATTGGGCTGGGTTTTCATTTACATTGGCACTTCTCAGCTCACATAGGGGCTTCTCTAATACTGATTAAATCTCTTGATTGATACTTTCTATAGATGCTGGTACCACAGTCTGCTGGTACCCACTGATAGATGCCTTAGACAATTTCCTCTATCTAGAAAGTTCTGACTGGGTATTTTCTTGAAGATGTTCAGGGAAGAGGCACAGAAGAAGTATGTTTTTCCAAGTTCAAATGGAGCAGTAAAAAAAGAAAGGGAAGCAGGAGATTTGCTCTAAAAGCAGAAGTTCTGTACATCTCTCAAAATCCCTTTTTTCCTTCCTTTAAGCATTCCTTGGCTCTGAGGGGCCAAAGTGATTCTGTAATAGAGCAGGAGGTAGGAGATGCCATCCATGAGTGGAGGAAGCTTTGCAGGAAATGCTGGGGAAGCTGCTGGTCCCACCTGGGAGCACATGTAAATGGAAACAGAGACTGAGTGAGAATGACTTTGTCATAAGAAGCCCCTTTTCTTAGAGTGATGCCTTTTCTCATGTCTGTCCATTCACTTCTGACCCTGCCACTAACTCTGTCATTAACTCCCCTGGTGTCAACATCAGACCCACTTGCAAGACCACAGGTCCTTAATCAGGCTCCCCCTCTCTGTGTTGATCTGTCCTGTCCGAGCAGAAAAGAGCGCTCACTGATGATGTTTTCCATCAGAGAGTCTCCCTGCCTCCCCCCATCAGTAAAACCCATCACTTGAAACTTCACTTGAGCAATCAGAAGTCCAAGCAAACCCTTTCCATCTGGAAGCTGCTCCTTTTACAAGGAAGTACTGTTATACATTTGGAAGAGGGTTTTTTCCCCCCCTTCTTAGGGAGATCAAACACCTTTCTGCTCTTTTCTTCTGCAAAATAAGACAGGGAACAGTGAAAGTTGTTATTTTAAAGGTTCCTATCCACATTCTTAAAGAATCTTCTTTGAGCAAAAGATCAGTCTCTTTCAATGGAAGCTCGGGAAGAGCAGCATTCACTGAAATACCTCGCTCCTGTTGCTGAGGACAAAAGCACAGCGTTCATCTCCCGAGGGTGGGTGACCTCGGGCAGCTCTGGCCTGAGTCATTCTCAGCTCTTGAGCCGAGCCCAGCACACGAAGCTGGGCAGTGCACATGGCTCAGCCCAGCTCCCCGTGCTCAGGACAGCTGGGGGCTGCTCTCTGCACAGCAGCAATTCAGCCCTTCCAAAGGGACGTGTTTCAGTCTCCATCCCCTCTCCACTGAAGGAGCAGTCCTTGTTTTGTTTGGCAAACCAAGCTCAGCACTTGCTGTTGATAAATGGCTTTGCCAAGGTTGCCTGTGTGCCTGGATTACCCCTCTGCCCAGGGATTTTATTTGGATTTCCCTGTTTCTGCCCAGTCAGCTCTCGGGCACAGACCGTGCCCTGCAGGTCCAGCCTGTGAGCAGAGCGGGACAGGAGAGGTCCCAGGGCTGCTTGCAGATGGTCCTGTGCAGGCAGCAAGGCTCCTTTCACATCCCTGCCAACTGCTGCCCCCATCCAGCAGCTTTTCCAGCCCGTGCAAGTGTTCCTGGGGCTCACACCAGCCCCAGAGAGAGCTCTTCTGCAGCCACAGCCGTGGGACAGCTCACTGAGGGGGTCCCACAGCATCATGATGGGCTCTGCCTCCCCACCCAGGGGGTCACACTCAGCCTCTGCCCCCAGGAGCTGCCCTCCGTGGGGAGACTGTGCCACACCACGACCTCTCTGCCTTGGCCAACACCACAACCACTGAGGCACATTTCCAGTCCTTTTGCTGAGAAATGAGCAGAGGGACTGAGAAACACGGAGGTGGCACTTGGCCTCCCCTCCTGGCCCAGAGCACCTCACTGCCCTGATTCAGGCTGCCCTGCATTTTAGGTGACTCCAAGGGGTGGAAGATGCTGGATAAGGCCACTCTGCTCCTGTTCCTGCATTTAGTCACATGCTCCATCTCCTCTCCTCTCTACCCAGCTCTCAGGTAAGTGCTGAGTGCTCACTCTGCCTCATCTCTGACCTTGTGCAAAATAAGCAGGTGCCAAACTAAAGTTTCCAGCACTTCTGAAAGCCAGATGAACTCTAAACATGTTTCTAGGACTATTTCTTTGTCCTGTCTTAATATTTGGGTACACTGCTGGCCTAGGGGTGATTTCCAAAGAAGACAGGCACCTGATGGAATATTTCAGCCCAAATTGTTGGGTTTGGAATTGAATTCTGGGATCTATGAAAGGAAATCTGGCAGTCTCCAGACCAGGCAGCACCTCCAGCTCAAACACTGATAAAAATTTGTGGCTGCAGGGCACCTGCAGTGAAGTCAGAAAGTGCAAGTATTCTAGTACATGAAATCTACAGATACCTATTAATATTTCAAGTGTTTCCTTGTTGGGTCTTAGAAGTTGCAGTACTGCTTTGTACCTCTACAAATCAACAGAAGCCCAAAACTGAACATTGGTTTCTCTAATGTGGATTTGCAATAGTAAACATGTCCTATAGAAAATAGTCCTATAGAAAAATAGTCCTATAGAAAATGCTTTAGCCTTGTGCCAAAGCCATGGGACAATACCAGAAACACTGGGACTTTGCTCAAGGATGCTGGGAGCTCAGTGAGGGGGATGTGTGTTTGAGACAACTCTACAAACCATCCTTCCACTGCTGGAAGAGCTTCAGGGCAGTTTCTAGCTGGGGAGAGTGACAGACAGTACTTGTGTTACTGCTGAGATGGGATGACAAAAGGAGAAAGAAAAAGCAGGAGAGTAGGGGATAATGGTTAAGAAGACTGAGCCTCAGCTGGCATCTGAGCACATCTCACAGTGTGCCTGGGGTTTCTCTTGCAGGTACAGTCCAGGGCCGGCTGCTGGCAAGGCCATGAGCTTCCAGCTGCAGCACAGCAGCTCACTGCAGAGCCATAACCCCTTGGCAGAGGAGCAGGAGGAGGAGGGTTTGTTAACAGACCCCACAGAGAAAAGGTTTGTGCCTCACCTGCCAGCCCTGCTGCTGCAGTGTGCTGGTTACAGTCTCCCCCCAGCCCAGGAGCAGACCAGCAGCTCAGTTAGTCCCAAACCATCACCCACGTGAACATAATTTTCCACTGAGCTCTGGGAATCTATCTGCAGGGATGCTAGAGCCTCTTCTTTCCACCTCTGCCTGGAGATAGAGGATGATTATTTCTGTCTGAAGCACAGAGGACCTATTCTTACAACAGTGGGACCAGATGAGTGGTTTGTGCTTCCCTTACCTGTGGATTTTCTGGAGCTTGGGACTAACCACAGGCTAAAGGTCTGCTGGAGGCTCCTGTCACCCTGTCCCAGACACAGCCCTCCCAGGAGGTGATGGTGCTTCTGCAGAGCACAGGAATATCCCAGCCCAGCTCTGCCCTAGATATTTCATTTTGTCTGCTGCCTCCATGTCAGGACTGAGCTCCCTCAAGTCCTTTACCCTCCAATCCTCCTGCAGTCCAACACTACAAGATGTTTGCTGTGGTTACCTGCCCTGATTTCAGCACTGTGACACCTGGGGGGTTTGTATTTCTCACCTGGAGGGTTCACTGACAGCTCAGAGAGCACATTGTGCTTCCTTTTCCCCCAGGATGCAGCGCCATGCTGATGCCATATTCACTGACAACTACCGGAAATTCCTGGGGCAGATTTCTGCCCGAAAATTCCTACAGACCATCATTGGCAAGAGGCTCGGGTAAGCCCCAGCACCCTGCTGTCCTGGGGCTGGGCTTTGCTTATTACCTCAGGCAGTGCCTTCCATACACCTGGCAGAAGTAGCTGCCTTTCACTGCAACAGAAGCAATCTCTCCTGCTGTTCCACACCCCAAAGGACATCCTGCATCCCAACAGTCTTGGATACCCCTAATCACACTTATCATTAAGAAGCTTAATTAATACTTTCCTCCAAGGTTGGAAGCATCAGATCAGCTGAGAGTTCTGCTGCAATACCAACAAGCAATAATATTTGCAGATAATATTTGCAATGATCCTTCAGTGGTAGGGAAGAGTTATCCCTGGCCTGGTTTGAACACAGAAAGCAGCTTCTCCATTACCCTTGGCTAGTCAGATCACTGACTGCCACTAAATAAAACCAACTGGTCAGATGCAAGCCAGCCCAATCCATCTTCTAGCAAAGGAGCAAATACAGCAAACCAATTTCTTGCTGAAATTAAGCAGAATGGCCCCAGGCTCAGTCCCAGCAGGGTCCCTCTCTGTGCTGCTCAGCCTGAGCCAAACTTTGAGTGAGGGGCAAAAAAGCATCTCAGAAACAAAGAGGTTTCTCATCTCCACCTAACAGAAGCAGCGAGAGCAGCCCAGGGGAAGGGGTGCAGGAATTCCTGAGCAGGCGCCAGTCCGACAGCATCCTGATGGACAGCCAATACCACCAGCAGATGGTACTGAGGGACTTCCTGGGAGCCGTCCTGCAGAACCAAAGGTGGGTGGGAATCAGCTCATTCTCACTGCAGGAACACACCCAGGTCCTTATTGCTGGCTGGCTTCCAGGTGTGAAGCTCCTGGATTAAGTGTCATTTCAGGAACTGTCAGGGAAAGAATAAGGCTGACCCCAAGCAGGGTGCAGATAAGAACAGCCTGTCCTGAGCCAGCCCACACCACACACAGCAGCACATCACTCTGCTGCCTTCTCAACCTCGTAATCCAGTAAAATAGTAGCAGAAAAGAGAATTTCTCTCTTGATCCCAGTTATGCCATCCCTGTCCTCTTCCTTGATAGGCCTCAGGACATCGACAGCAGTCAGCTGGAAGGCTTTCCCAGCACCCTGGCTAAGCTCATGTAAATACTTCTCCCTTTTCCATCTCCACATGCTCTGGTGAGTACCAAGCCCTGCTCAATCCTCTGCATAAATCACTGCTGCTGCACTGCTCAAGGTTTGAAGGTTCTCCTTCAGTGATGTCAACTCCCACTGCTACCCATGAAAAAGGTGCTTGTTGTAATTTAGGGGGGAAGAAAATTCCCAATCAATATTGGCAAGTACCTAAAACCCTGCTAGTTTGAACAGAAGGAGCACAAGTGCTGTGAAGGTGCATGGGGATGTCTGGGAACAAGCTTGCAGCAACCCAAAGCAGCCTTTCAAAGTTATCTGATAGTGCCTGAGTGTATAGGTCAGGCTAAGGGCAGACAAGACTTCCTCCAGCAGCAGAACCTGTCTCTAGGTCCCTGGGACATGTCAGGTTTTCCCTGCACTGGACAGCCCAGGTTACTGTTTTCTCTATCCCTCATTCCTGAAAACAGTCAGCTGGAGCTTGTATTATGCTCTAAATCTTGCCTGCCCTGGGGGAATGAGAGCCAGCAAACTGTCCATTCTTGGCAATACTTTCACTTGATCAATTTTCCTTTGTGAAGCAACCTTACTACCCTGTCCCACAGAAATTCAGCTTATCCAAACCTGCCAGCACAATATAAAGGGGTGTGGAGAGATCAGTGTGCACACTGAACAAAAGAGGGGCTGGGGAAGAGAGGGAAGATCAAAACTCTACATAAATCACACCTATGGATTCAGCTAGGAGAGCATAATATTCCAACATCTCTCTTGCCATGCTTGGCTTGGTTACCTTTCCACACATAAGGTCAGTCAGGAAAAGACTCCAAAGGATGAAAGAATTTCTATGTGCACTTATGAAGTTTTCTGGTAATTCTCTTTTCCTCCTTTCTCTGTCTAGAATAATTCAGAGCTCATGGACCAAACTGTACAGTGAGCCCCTCACAGCAGAGAAGACACGCCAGATGTGAGCAGCTGGAAACTGATGCATACACTCCTCAGATGTGATCAAAGGAATGCAGTGCTGAAGCACTACTTAATTTACTCCAGTCTTTACAATTTAACTCCCCTCTTGAAATACTGCTCTGTACTAAAGCAGAAAAAAACCCCACCTCTGTGGTTTAACCTCAGGCTGCTTTACACAGGGACTAAAACAAATGATATACTTGTAATCCTGGGGACATTCTGGCTACTAATTAAGGTTTCAAATCACAGAGTGTAGCAAAATTTCTGCCAAGTCATCTTTCTGTTTGAGGGCCTGATTAATAAATATGAGGCCACCAAAAGGCACCTTTAGGCAACTTAGTAAATTGATTACAGCATCCTCAAAATGGGTGCTGATGGCACAGCCACACACAGCAAGGATCAGGGTGAGGTGAGACGTGAGCCCACACATCTCCCATTCATTGGAAACTGCTCTGGGCTGCTGCTGCCTGGCTCCCTGACACAGAGCCCCAGCAGCAGAATGAACTCTGAAATGCTCAGCTACAGCTCCTGCTGAGCCTTGAGGAGCTCAAGCTGAAGTTAGAGCTCTGCCAGAGCTGAAGGAGATCCCTGTGCATCAGCTTGGGCTGTCGCTGTTTCAACTCAAGGTCTTGTTGAGTGCCATCCCCTGGCTCTGAACTCCACTGTGGCTACAGTTACAACTGTAAATGTTTTAAAAGGAGTAAGTTATTAGACCACTGATCTCATACAGCAACTTCCTCCCTCTCACCCCAATCCCCCTGTTGTTTGTGTAATAATTATGTGTTCAGAAATGTAAATAACACCAGGATGGGGTCTGCTTTCCCATAAGCAGCAGGAAATAAGAGTTATTCTAAATAAACCTGTCCAACAGCAGGTCAAGATGGCTCTTTTGTTGAAACCTTTATTTCTTGATTCTGGATCCAGAATGGAAGATGCTCCTCAAAGACAGTTGTCAAGTGCATCAAGGATGACTCAAAACTGGGCTAACAAAGGCAGCAGCTCCAGTACCAGTAACACCACCAGGCTGGAAACACAATTATACATAAATGTGTGTTAAGGCCTCTGAAGTCTTCCCTCCTTCCACTCCAACAATTCCTTGTTAGTCTGCAGTAGTTATCACTTCATTTTCCCTCAGGTGACATGTTTTAGGACAGGAGGCTCCAGTGTGCATGGAAATCATCTCATCCTTGCACCAAATCCCTGTTACAGCCTCCCTGTTCAGGTTTTACAATTCCAGTAGGGAAGTATTATAAACCACCCAGCAGGATGGGAAACATCGAGGGGATGCTGGGGGAGATCAGTGGAGCTGTGACAGCAGCAGGAGCAGTAATGGATAACTGGAACCCTTCAGTGGGCAGGCAGCTGTCAGAGACAGCTTCTGCTTCACAGTGCAGGAATACACAAAAGAAGAATCACCTGAGCAGCCTGGTTCAAAATGGGTTTTTAATCCTGCTCTGTAAGAACACACTCAAAGCCTTTAGGACTTACTCACTCCAAGGAAAGGAATTACAAAAAATGAAGAAGATTCCTAAAGTAGTAAGTAGTTATTTAAACTTAGTAGTTATTTAAGTAGAATTTAAACTCTGGTAAGTGGCATAAAAGGCATATGCAAACAATGGATTGGATACAGCCAATAAAATCAAAGGTCTATGAAAAACATTTCAGAAAGTGTTTGGGTGATTACATTTGTGTGGTTAAATGGATGGGTGAGTGTAGCTATTTGGAATAAAAGAGATTCCTTTGGAGGTTCAGTTTGCTTCAAAATGAGGAAACAAATGCTCAAACTCTACAAGATTAAATATAAAAACAAATAAAGCAAATAAAAAATATCTGAGGAATAAAAGACCAAAATAATAAAAACAATCTTTCCTAATGCATAAGTAGAAAAATCAATAGTAACACACACAGCTTAGAGAAGATACATCACAGGGGCATTCCGTGATTTTCCTTTTGCATCCATGCTCCCCTTGGATAACATGCTGCAGCTCTACAGGCACAGGGAAAGTTCTGTCCTAGCACAAAGCATCAGCAGAAAGAATTAGTTACAAAACAAAGCTGCTAAGTGAGCAGTAACAAAATACAAGGCTAAAAAAAATATTCCAGAATAAATGACTATGAATAGTAGCTTAGTTATTTCTTGTCTAAAACTCCTTTAGTCCCAGAGGATTTGAATGCAGCCTGAGATCTGGTGTTTGAAGGAGTGCAGATGAGGTCAAAGAAGTTCATTAAACCTCTGTGGGTCCATCCTAAGGTTTACACTGAACAAGCAGGTAGGAACTGCTACAAAGAGCAGAAACAGTGAGCTCAGTTTGAGCAACAGCATGGGGAAGAGAGAAGGTGGATTTAATAAAGTGGGGTCATGTCTCACACACGTGAAATGCTTTGGAGGATTCAGCTCCACACCCTTTATCTACATGCATGCTTGCTGATGTAATTTTCCTGGATTTCCAGAAGACATTTGATATGGATCCTTTGCCAAAAGGCCTTTAAAGCAACACCCCTTGACAGATGATGAACAGGAGCAGGGGAGGGAGCAACCGTTAAGTTTTCCATGTGGAAGTTGCACATCAGGAGGAGATTTAGGCCTTTGGCTATTACTGAGTCCTTCAGTAACACCCAAGTCTGCAGCCTCAGCACTGCTTGGTAGTCCTGAAGGGAGTAATTAGGTAGGAAATTAGAGTTTGAGTAACTCAAACATGGCCACGTGGCAAGCAGCAGACACCTGGCTTTGGTTTCACAGAAGACCAGAGGCAACAACCTCCATTAAACTGGTGTTTGGAGTGAGAAGGTTCCTGCCAGAGGCTGGAAATAAAGTGAAGCCCCCACAGGAGCCCCAGAGCTGCCAGGTCACCAGCATCACAGCTGGCTCTGACCCCAAGGGCCCAGAGCAGTGGAGAAAGGCAGCCACAGCCTCACCCAAGGGACAGGAGGGAGGGAAGTGCCCCCCAATAAACACAGCCCCCAGGGAAAGGACATGAAAGAACAGGAAGTTTCACACTCAGCAATGACTCACACACAAAATTACCCACCAGAAAAAGCTCTTTTCATTCTCATGTAAGCCCAGCTTCCAATCACCACCTCTGAGACAGCCAAAACACAACACTCAGGACCATTCTTTCCTCTTTATTCACAAATCTTTATGATGAGGAAAGGGCACCTGGGGAAAAGCAGATTTATATTTTCTTCTTCCTTTTTCTCAAAAGGAAATTCAAATGTCCTGGGAGAAGGAGGGAGAATCCAGGGAAGAAAAGATTTTCCAGATTCATATGAAAAGCACTCCAGTAGCATGAACACAATGATGAAAATAAAGATTTTAAAAAAAGTTTAACTGGCACCCTTTTGACTTAATATATAAAAAAGAATTATCTTCTGCCTTCCTTCTTCTGGCCTTTCAGTTATTTATTCACTTCTGTTCTGAAGGCATTTGCGTTGTTTTTCCACTTTAGTTCCATTCTTCTGGTACTAGTGTGTCCTGGAAAGAAAAATTAAAAAAAAAATATTAACTCTTCCAGGCAACAAAGCACTTGCTTGTACAGAACGAGTGTCCCCAGACTCCTCATTCTCTCTCAAAAGAAGCTCGGACAAACATCCCCAAAGCAGCTAATCTGAGTGATAAAATCAGTACTGCTCTGGAATGGGGGATGGAATTCAAGGAGCATGGAAATGGTCAGAGAAAATGAAGATTAATTTCTGGTGGAAAAGGGATGAATGTGCCTATTAAATTATAGAACTGAACAAAAAAAACCCCAGGCTGAAGGCAAAGCCTGCAAGTACCTTAACTTCTCCTTTTAACAGGGCTGATCCATCTGCTGGGAATTGTTGGTCCATGTTAATACAAAGATCTTCATCTCCCCAAGAACATCAAGCAGGGTTAGCACAGCAAACCCAACTTTTTGGGGTCCTTTTGCCTTCCATCATGCCAGACACAGGCACACATAGCATGACACTCTTAAATAACAATGAAACATTTGCAAGATCTCAGGGTCACAGACACGCTGAGAGCTAGAGTCCCTCTGCTCTGAGACAAGGCTGAGGGAATAGGGGATGCTCAGCCTGGAGAAGGCCCCAGGGAGGTCTGAAGGGAGTTTATGAAAAGGAGTGAGAGGGATGTTTTATACAGGCAGGTGGGGCAGTGGTTTCAAACTGAATGAGGGCAGGTTTAGATTAGATGTTAGGAAGAACTTTTTAACTCAGAATGTGGTGAGGCACTGGTACAGATTGCCCAGAGAAGCTGTTGATGCCCCATCTCTGGAATTTGTGAAAGGCCAGGGTGGATGTGGCCCTAAGCCTGTGGCAGGTACTTAACTAGAGTGCCTTAAGATCCCCTCTAACCCAAACCAGTCTGTGATTCCATGATCCTCTAGGATTACTTACAGCCCATAAGGAATGAAGGAGTTAAAATACCAGGCTGGGAAACAGGAAACATGCAGGCTGTGGAGAACACACTCATGAGGCTCTTGGTACCAGGCCACTAAAAAGCTGCAAACCACTGGCCCAAAGTCATGTTAAAGAAAAGCATCCAGGAGCCTGAACAGCAAGCACAGCAATCATCTAAAAGTACAAGTGACAGCAACCTCCAGTTCCTCTCCAGTAACTTGCTGTAGCTTGTTGTGTGCTCCAGTACCTCAAAACACTCCAGGGAAAGAAAAGACAGCAAACAGGTGTTTTTCTGAGGGACACAATGCCTAATGTTCCACAGGTAATTTCCATGCAACCATCCTGCACACTCCCTGACCTGCAGACAGGAGCTCTCAGCACAGTGTGGCACAACCTCCCAGCGCTGGTTTTGATTTGCACCACAAAAACTGGGCTCCATTCAACTCCCCATGTGCCTGGAGCACTGACTATGGATGTGAGAGGAAGCAGATGCTCAGATGTCCCTGTGCAGCACATTGTACAGGGATTTGTGTCATCACAGGAGCCACCTCAGAAACAAACCAGTGCACTGAATGAGGGATGAAGCCCCCATGCACACACACTCAGAACTGAGCAGTCCTGCCTCCTACACCAGCGTGCACAGAGCAAACTGAGACCTTACCTCTTGGAGTGAAAGGAAACCAAGAGCTTTCTCCTGGTAAATGGCAATGGAGACCCAGCACACGCCTGTATGGAATGGATGGGGCTGGGAGCTGCTGCCTGAGCCATCATGACCAGTTCAGTCTACTGGCAGGATAACCCAGGACTGGGTCGTGTTCTCAGCTGAGAGAGGTGGTGCTGACCTGGCTCTGCTGCACGGAGCTCTCAGCACCCCAGATGAGGATGTAATTCAGCAGGCAGAGTGCCTGGCAGTTGAAGAGCCAGAATACTGCAGGTGGGGCTAGGGAGTACCAGCAGCAGGATGGGAACACCCCAGTATCAGCCACTTTCATCATGGTCTCCTTCAGCTGACATTAATAATAATTTATTTATAGGAGCAATGCTATTGTTTATTTTCATCACCTGAGAGCTGCTTGATGCCCACAACAGCATATCTGCATGTGCACATATCACCATACATACTTCAGACAATTAAAGAAATCAAAACATGCAATTTAGTCTCAGAACTTGTACTGCTAATGTGCCAACCCAGCTGCAGCCAGGGCACCCAAGGACTGATTTAAAGCCCAGTAAGCAACGTTGGGGGAAGCAGCTTCAGCTCTCATATTTTTTGTCACAGGAGTGAGTGATGAGGTGAAATGAAACAGGCAGCATGCCCAGGGAAAGGCAAAATCCAAAAAGGCCCTTACTTCCTGAAGAGCTGGTCACTAGCAAACCCCCTTTTACCGCAGCGTTCTATACTTTGCCAACCTACTGCTCTGCTCTGCAGCGATCCTGCCAAAAGGAGAGAGGGAGAAAGGTTCAGAGAAGACAGGAAAGAAGAAAGCAGCCCTGTTCCAGGA